GAATTACTCAACACATAGAAACTAAAATCTTGGAAAAATGTTGACTTTGAAGAGAGCTATGACATTTTGAACTCAAAAATTTCAAATCGGACAGAACTTATGCAGCAACCTAATATATACGGTCTGCGGTTATAGATGACATAATGATATGAAGGGCAAGAGGTCACTGGTCATTGTCAAGCATTCATTTTTATTATTCATCCCCGGATTTCTGGCGGATATCCATGCTGCCTCTAATGTCTTTCTTGCCGAAATTTCCGTCTCATACGCTAATGTCGTGCATTTTACATCATAATCGTCACCTTAAGGTGCCTCGACTCTATGTTTTCCCAATGGTGATGACAATGTACCCCTCCTTTTGCTGGCCATATGTTCCTTCATTCTGATACTTAATGTCCTTCCGGTCTCTCCTATATAAGTTGTTCCACAACTTAGGCACTCTAGTTGGTAAACAATACCCTCCTTTGCACAATCACCTAACTTCCCGTATGGGCAAACAATGCAGTTTTCAGATATACAGTCAGTATCATACAATCTATTTCTGATCGACCACTTTCTGATAGTATTGTTAGAAATGTTGATCAGCATTACTTCGTTCTGTAACTGCGCACGTGCTATGCATCGTTTAATGGCCTCGCTAAATCTGTCGGCTACAAAAGGCATACAAAGGGGAATTTGTTGTGCTTGCTTCGCACGGATTCGCTTACGTATCTAAAAAGTCTTTGCCGTGATTGCGTTATGTATCCATTGCTGCGAGCAATCTTGCGTGCTAGTTGTAGTGACTCTAATCGTTCGCTCTCGCCCGTACAGACTTCTGCAGCGGTTTTGTACATGTTATGAATAACGGAACGAAAAAATCAAAAAATTATAGTTATTTTAACGTGATAAGGCTGTTACATTTTGTGTATATGTGTGTCTGTCTAAAACGAAGTTCGTAAAATGAGTTGCAAGCTTTGCATAACACACACTGCCAACACCTATTGTCACTATGCAAAAACACCGGATTCGGTGCGTGGAACCCTCAGAAATTGCGCGTCAAAGAGACCACTTGGCTTCTTGCTCATAGAATTGGGTCCGAAATAGATTTTTTGCAAAATCACTATTTGTATGATGTACACATGTGCATGCCACCGATTTTAGACAAAAAAGCAATCAAATTTGTTTTGTGCGAACACGCCGTCAAAGAGGGTTGGTGGAGTAAGTCGTCAGTTTCTCAAGTTTCTATCCAACAATAGGAAACTTGGAAAATTTTGGCTCAAAGATGCAGTTCACGGCAGTCTTTTCCCGTTGTGAAACACCTATCAAAACCGTGATGAACTTAACAACTGATTAAAGCTCGCGGTTATTATTTTGCAAAAAGGATTTCCTCCTCTTCAAGGCACAGATCGTGCATGGAAAAGCTTTTGAAACAAGTAGTTGTTTGCCATTTATTTGTGCTTGTCAGCACTGCGCGGTGAAGTTAGAACCATAAAAATGCGAGCACGAGTTAAGCAATATTTAGGATATTGTAAACCGCTGGGGAGCAGAGGTGATGCACTGGCGCAACTACACTATTTTCCGGAGTATAAGCCGCACCTTGTATAAGGTGCACCCGCCGCAGCAAACAATGGTGCGAATGCGCCTTTACAAAGAGCTATATAGCAAATTGAAAACTCGGTGCGTGCTAGTACCAGTGGCGTACCGAGGGGGGGGGGCGGGGGGGGGGCGCCCCCCCCCCGAGAATGGGTCGCGAAATTTTTGAAAGTTACTTAAATGTGTTATAAAAATGTGCAGAGGATTTGTTTTTACTTGTAAATAATTAAAATAATTTTTAAAAGATTTTTAAAATTCAAATTAGCCTTGTAAAAAATTTTTTTCGGGGGCGTGGCTGCCGCCACGCCCCCTTTTTCTGAAATTTTGGGGTCAGGGGCCCGGAAAAATTTTGGGAAACATCCTAAAAAAATTTTCAGAGTGCGTGGCTGACGCCACGCACCTTTATTAGAAAAAAATTTTTGTCGCGCCCCCCCCCCCCCCCCCCCCCGAGCCGAAATCCTGGGTACGCCACTGGCTAGTACGGATAGTCATGTTTTCAGGTACTTTTTTAAGCTCCTGCAAGACGAAGGCGGTCGGTTCGATGTGCGACTTGGCTGTGACGCGGCTGTGACGCAGCCATGTTGCACGCCGCGTGGCACACCGAACCGACCGCCTTCGTCTTGCAGGAGTTTATACTTTTTTTCTTAATGGATTCAACGAAGCCCTGACAACTGATCTAGACATAGATGATCTCGATAATAGCTCCTCTTCAATGCATCTTGATGACAGTGAGAATGCTTAGACTTTTTTTCTTGTTTCATATGACTTTGCGGATGTTTAGGTTGTGTTTTCTTTCCTAAATGATACTACTGGTTGACTGTGCTTTCCTTTTTTCAATGATGTTACTGGTGCTGAAGTTGTGCTTCCTTTTATTTTCATTCACCGGTTTGAAGCTTATCACCTTTCGATTCCATGTTACTACTGGGATTCGAACGTTCTTTTATTGTTCAGCGAATTCTTGAAGAATAATGAGAAGATAGAGAATTTTGTTACAAACAAATACATTTGCGAAGAAACCAAATAAAGAAAGCAGAAAGTTCTTATTAGATAACCAGGCGAAATAGATAGTAGTTGCCTTGTGCGGCTTCACGCATCGCGAACGACATCGCATTTCAGCCCGCGCCCGGTGAAAAGAAATGCGGCTTATACTCCGAAAAATAGGGTATTTATATGTCTATTGATGCACTATTCATGAACAGTGCGCCAGATTAAAGACACGCAATGAAACGAACATGCGACATGCTCAACACCTTAGAGTAAAGAATGAAAGTCACTTTTCTTAAGAGAGAGAGAGCTCGTGAGTTTTGCCTTCAAGAAGTGTCGTGCGAAGTGGTACTGAAAGTATAAGTACAAGCATACCTTCGATAGTCTAGAGAGAGGGCGTCAAAAGTGAGGGTTGTTTGAACATCTAAATAGTGAATGTTGTTTAAGGATGATCAGAGAAGAGAAAATAACGTAAAACAGATAAAAAAAAGCGAAAGAAGCTGCTGAAAACCGATTAAAAACGCCTTCATTTGGCGGCTTTTCAAGTGCAAGTTTTCGCTCCAGGACCAGCAATTCGCAACACGGGGTTTTGATTTCTGATGCGTCCTTTGAATTTTTACCCCCGCATTGACCTTCCTGTTTCCTGGGACGTTGTCTGGATTGTAGCGCTTATTGTTCTCAGCAAAAATCGCCCAGATTGGAAAAGAATCGATGCGAAAGCACTGAAACAGAAGAAGGTAAGAAAAACACACTTTTTTACAATTTTTCGCAAAAAATTCCACAATGATAGAAGAGATAAAGGCTGGGTTGTTGTCTGCATTATGAACAGAAGCAAGATCTATAGAATGCACGAAAAAAACCACGTGAAAGGAGTTAAACTAGGAGAAAAACAAGAGATTTTCGAAAACAAGGTTTTTGCCGGATTTCTCAATCAAATCAAAAAATGTGGTTCTGGGACGTTGTCAGCGTGAAAATAGAGATCAAGAGCTTCAATTTGATATATGGCTTGCTAAAACTGGATTCGAAACAGCGAAGAAAAGTGTACCAGAGCCAAATGCCCCGCGCCCCGCGTTTGGGGTAACGAGGTAGCGCGCAGCGCGCGGAGACGCAGACGAGCAGCGGAGACAGACCAGAGCCGTCGGGGCATTTGGCTCTGGTAGTAGATTTCCGCGGGGTCTCAATGAAATCCTGCAACATTATATATCATTCTGATCGTCATGACACGACAAGGAGAACTGACAACGTCCCAAGCTTTGAAAATCACTCATTAACGAGACAGAGCAGCGTTTTCGTGCGCGACTCTCTGCGCGACATTTAAGCGCAGTTTCTCGTTCTTATTCAAATCCAGTAGTTTTCCTAAACTACTAAATTTCTATTTTGGTCAAATGAGAGGTCAACTGAAAAATTTTGTCCTGAATTCTGGCGAAAATTCCACAAAAACCTTGTTTTAAGGTAAAAAAGGGGAGCGGAACTTACATACACCATAGGGTTGCCGCCGCCTAATTAGCGGAGTTCATGAGAGGTCATGAACTGGCAGCAACGCTAATTTGCACTCATTCTGCACCGAAGATGAGCTGATCCTGCTCACGGTAACTCCGTCATCATCTGCACACTATGAAACCGGAATTTTTTGAAATTTGAATTCAAAGTTCAGTAGTAAAATCTGTCCAATTAGGACAAAAACTTGTATTTAGGGGTATTCTAACACGCTGGTTCTGAATATGTTAATTATTTTGCTTGAAACCTAGGATTTTCTCTTTTTTTGAATTAAAACTTGTTTTCACAAATAAAAATTTCAAAAATCCTCTGTAGGGGTTTTCTGACATGCTGTTTCCTAAAAAGCTGATGGTTTTGCTTGAAACCTCAAAATTTTTCTATTTTGAATTTGAAACTTTTTCGGAAATTTCATTGCAAATTTGATAAACTTGGAAGACAAATGGAAAAAATCTGCTATGTTTAAGAAGATAAAATGAATCCAAATTCGACTAAACTATCGTGCTCTAATAATACCTTAGATCGAAAAACGAAAATTGTGTCGATGTCAAAAATTTCTCAAATCCAAAACGGACTTCAACATCAAATAAATCTGCTTATTTAGAAAGACCAATCCAAGTGTCAGGGTCCATGCTGTTTTAGACTCCAAAAATAAAAATCCAAAATTACCAAGCTACTTAAAACTGAAATATTCTGAATACATATAATTTGACGAGATTCATTTACCTGCAATTAGTCATGATTGCCATGCACGTGATAGTTAACTTGTCAACGACAGATGCACCGATGTGTGAACACAAACCGCCGACGAGTATGCCCAGAGCAATGAAATGACCAAAAAGGTCTTTGGGCAAGGAAAGGGCGAAAAAACAATTTCAGGCTAAAAATTTCCTATAAATAGGAGAAAAAATGTCAGACAGTCCACTAGTGGTGTACTCGATATTCATACCATGTCATTCTACGATTTTTACAATGTGCAAATGCTGCAAGCAATGCAGCAATTTTACGCAACGTCGGATCTTAGCTCTCAGTTAGGACAGTTATTGTTAGGACCACAGGTAAGTAAATTTTAATATAAGTTTTTTACTACGCTCTTAAAAAAATTCAGCAATTGTTTATGTCGAACAATACTATCACTCCAAATGAACTTCATCTGCAAAGCAGCGATTTGTACTTGGAAAGCGAAAGCAACAACGAAGCTGTGGCATTGCAAGCTCCTGAGGTAAGCAAGCAGTCCGCATTTCAGTAATTCTAAAAAAATAGAACTTCAGACATCTACGCCTGTGGTGATTCACACCTCTGCAAATGAGGAAATTATTCCTGAAGCGCAGCCCATCTATCGCGGTGAAAAAGAGATGAGTAAAAGAGGAACAAATTTTGTTTTATTATATGATATCCCAAATTCTCCTTTATGTTATATTTTTTCCCACCACAGAAAAACTAAACAAGGAGGAACGATCATATATTGTTGCCGCGGATGCCAGCAACAAAACGATTGCTACACTTCAGTCCAGGTAAGTAGAATCTTCTAAAGGCTAATTTACCTAGAATTTCAACTCAAAAAGCAAAGAAAAACTTGAAGGTGCAAGACGATGTTTTTGAAAGTGATCCATGGATGTTATCCCACAATTGTATTCCTCTGGATCGCTATTGTGATAAGGCGAATCGTCATGGTTATCAGGTAGCTTTTCTAGAATAAATCCAGTTATTTCAAAGAAAATATAATATTTTTGCAGGCATGCCAAACCATGAGAAAAGACAAAAAGGCTTACAAAACAACACCTTACAGGCATTTCTCGGAAACCGCCCATGCTATATTAACCGACGACACATGGAGAAGTGAATTTTTTTTGTAAAGCTAAACAGCTTAGCTTATTTGCAATTTTTCAGCACTCGAAGAAAGAGAAAAAGTGCTTGGTAAATTTCATAGAAGGAGTTAGCAAAGAAGGAGAACATTTGCCAAGTTAGTGCATTTTACATCTTTTAATTATTTGCTACTATCTCTGGTGCTTTTTCAGGGCAGCGAACGCTCACAAAAGGACTGTAGATCCGAGCAATAATCCAGAAGATCTTCGTAACGTTCCCGGAGGCGAGGTATTTTTGCAGCTTCAAACGGATGATTTGCACATACACTTCAGCAGAAAAGTTGTTGAGGTAAGTTTGCGAATATTAACTAAAGACGAGTCAAGATGAAAAAGAAATTTAGTTGGCTCGAGACCATGGATTGCATGCACTAATTGGGGATGGAGTGCACAAATTAAATCCTGTTACAATTCCAAATAGAATGGATAAAGGTCAGCTTTATGTCGTGCACGCGGCAATCCAAGGAGGCATAGAGGTGAGTTTCTACAGAAAATCGAGAAAAATTTCATTAATCTTTTCAAGGTGCCGTTACTCTACGCTGTCACCAGATTCAAGACCGTCGGAACTTACAAAATAGTGTTCGAAAGCCTTCGGGAAGTTCTAGGAGAATACAAAGAAAGATTTGTAGTCGATTTTGAAAAGGTGAGTTTTTCTAATGATTACCAGTCCAGATAAAATTATTTACAGGCGGCCATTCGAGCAGCAAGGGAGACTTTTCCTGAAGCGGATGTTCAAGGATGCGCTTTTCATTTAGCGCAGGCGTGGAATAGGGCTTCTGTTAATTTGGGGCTAAGAAAGTTCATAAGGGGACCTAAAGCGGTTCTAGAGGTAAAAAATTGGTGGGAGATTTTGAAGGGGGTTATTTTTTTGCCGGAGGAACTTATAAGCAGAGTTTCAGCCCTTTCAGCGCCACCGGTAAGTGAATCACATGTAGCACATGCGCCATGCAATGAATTTTTGAAATATTTAAATACTCAGATTGTGTCAGTATAGTGTAGCCAGCACGAGGTTTGGGTGAAGCTATTTATTACATCAGTGGCCTAACGCGTTTCGACTACTCGTCGTCTTCGGAGGCCTAAAGTGGTGCGGGATTAGTGATCTTATGTCTGCCCCACCAAGTTATGATCTAGCGACTTTTGCTTGTAAAACTCGAGAGGTGATCGAGAAGCTAACCGAGGGTTGATGAAGCACTTGGTGGGGCAGACATAAGATCACTAATCCCGCACCACTTTAGGCCTCCGAAGACGACGAGTAGTCGAAACGCGTTAGGCCACTGATGTAATAAATAGCTTCACCCAAACCTCGTGCTGGCTACACTATACTGACACAATCTGAATTATGCCGAGGTTTCAACAAGAGAGGACGAAAAACTTATTTAAATACTGTTTATTTTAATGGTACTTTCAAAGGAATGTGGTGCAAATGGGGTATGCAGGATTATAGGACAACAAACGCAGCAGAAGCATTTCACAGGTAAATAGTCATCCCAATTTATGTTGACATCAAACCCCTGATTTCAGCAAATTGCGTGGAATGCTTTCAAAGCGAATTAATCCCCCGTTTGAAGAGCTGTTGGAATGCTTGCACTCTATCAACTCATTAGCACTAGGAATGCTGAAACATGTCCAAGAGGTTAGAATTTGTGATTCTCAAACTATTATATCACTAATAATTTGTAAATCAGAATGCACGCGCTTCGAGAGCTCTTCGCAAAAAAGATCAAGAGCGTCGTGACAAGATCAACAACGCAATGGATGAGTTTAAAGAGATGTTTCGTTTGGATGATGATTTAGAAATAGATGTCATTAATAACTATTGCAGGAAGATGTCACAGTTTGTTACAGAGAAGACTATATAGATGGACTTCAAAAAGAAATGGGTATATAATATATAGATATATAGATATATATATAAATCGTATTTTGTCTCCGCGTACAACGATCGATTGAGGGAAATGGTCCTCACGGCCTTCTGTTGTCGCCAGATTCTCAGGGCATGCCTGTGGCTGTTATCACCAAATCCGAAAAAATTTGGAATTCAAAATAGAAGAATCTCGAGGTTTCATGCAAACCATCAGCTTTTTTGAAAACAGCATGTCAAAAGACCCTAATTGTGAAATTTGCCGAATTTACAAAGAATTTGTGGAGAATAAATAAAATATCAAAAAAAATATTCAAAGTTTTGAGCTAAACATCATTAGTTTTTTTTAGGAAACAGCATGTCAGAAAACCCTTACATAGAATTTTTGAAATTTTTATTTGTGAAAACAAGTTTTAATTCAAAAAAGAGAAAAATCCTAGGTTTCAAGCAAAATGATTAACATATTCAGAATCAGCGTGTTAGAATACCCCTAAATACAAGTTTTTGATCTAATTGGACAGATTTTACTACTGAACTTTGAATTCAAATTTCAAAAAAATTCCGGTTTCATAGGGTGCGGGATGATGACGGAGTTACCGTGAGCAGGATCAGCTCATCTTCGGTGCAGAATGAGTGCAAATTAGCGTTGCTGCCAGTTCATGACCTCTCATGAACTCCGCTAATTAGGCGGCGGCAACCCTATGGTGTATGTAAGTTCCCTCACCCGGTAAAAAAGGCTATGAAAACACAAATTCTCGTTTCGCTAAGATAAGCTAAAGATATTATTCCCTATATTTGCTTCATTAACATTCGTTCCGATATAGTCAGGATAACAACATCCGGGGCGTAGCTCCGGATGACTTCTGTTTTTTCCAGGTGAAGGTTGTGTCTCCTCATAGCGGGTGGAGGACTATGTCGCCGAATTTGTAAGAGTCCCGCGCGGCTTCCCTGCAGGAACGCCTGTCCGCGCATGTACAAGCGTGCGTATTTGTCGCAAATGACCGCGGGGACCGCCCTTTTTCGGCGACATATAGTCCTCCACCCCCTCATAGCCCTCAAAGTGAAGGTTACCAGGGTACGTGAAGGTGAAGGTGTCTATGTATCGAGGGTATGAGTACAAGTCCAAGCGCAGTGCGTGACGAAATAGAGATATACAATCATTTTCGAGCGAAGAAAGAGGGATGAGCACCAGGGCGAATGAGCGTCTGTCTGTGTGTATGTATGTACCAAATAGAAAATTTCATTTCTGAACCGATCCGGATCAAACTTTGCACACACTACACTTAGGGGCGGAGGTGTCGTAGGCTACTTTTCGTTAACGCTCAATACCGATTTTTTCGATTTTCTGCAAAGTTTGAGATACGGGAGCTGGAGTTGGTAGAGGGAGGGGGGTAGGTGAGCATGTTGAGTACGAGTATATTCTTGACAGGGCCGAGCCGAACCGGGTTTGCCAGCTAGCATCTCATAGAATTCATCTTTGACAACTCAACACAAAGCAGTGCTCCAAAGAACTGCATAAAACAACGTCAAATTTAGGATTGGAGTTTTGCTGCTCAATAAGCTAGACATTGAAGATTCGTACACTTCGATTTCATGATTTTCCGGTCCAGAAACCCCAGAGATCTTGAGAATTACTTAATTATCTTGCCGCTATATGATGATGTGATGATAGAGTTTGATTATCTGATGGCGGACGATTCAATTCCGCAAAGGGTACTCATTTTTGTGCTCTGCTGTTTTGAGTCTAATTTAAAATTTTTGGAGCGAAAATGATGCTGATGACGTCTATAGAGCTGACTGCGACATAATCAGGTGAGCAAAATTGGAAAACAGCTGTCCCATGTTTTTTCCGACCAAATAAATTGAAAAGGAGGCAGATGAAACTAAGGCACCATTGGGACGTGTGATTCACTGCCTTAGTTTAAAGAGATCCTTCAGTTTATTTCGTGATCAAAAGCAGCTGTTTGCATGCATGACAAATTTGAGCTAAAATCCATTTTATTGAAAAAATGCAGAAAATAGTGGTTAACTCATATTTGGAAATTACAAAGGGTCTTTGAGCAAACATAACTCCTGTGATTATCCGCAGAGTCCACCAGAACCGCACGATCCAGCTCCAAAAGTGTAACACTCGGAGCACACGAGGCCAACATTGTACATTGGATTGTTGATAATGTTCCCACTAAAATACATATATTATGTGCTTGGAAAAAAGAACTTTGTAGGTGCTTACTTTGGCCGGTAACGGCATGATAGTACGTATTCATCACCACACTTAGCAATGGAGCAACCAATCTCTCGAGTTTGAGCCCAACCCATCTTAACATTTAGCATTTATCAAAGCTTCCTAAATTTCAACGCTTAAATGATTTTGACGAATGCCTAGCTTACTCGAGTGTATGATTCTATGGGAGTGCCAACGAGTGATTCGGTAAAAACTGCACTTGAACCAGGGTTAGGATAGTTTTGGTATACATCCCACCACACCCTGATTGTCTGAAAGCATGGACAGTATTTACGATAAGCCAGCATAAGCTTACCTTTATGGTCATTTCTTTGAAAGTTGACAAATCGCTGGTGATGGCGGCGCGATAAAAGTTATCGACTGGACTCAAACAACTTGGATCTATATATCCTTCTGTAGGACATTTGGCTAGATGATCGTGAGCCTCCTTTTCCAAAGCGCAAGACCACACCTGCAAATTATAACTTGCAGCCACTCAATCGTCGTACTTGCTTGAGAATATAGATGAACACGATAGAAGCATTAAAAACTGACTAGACGATTCATGTTGGTAGCAGATGGCAGCGTATTATCACTATATTTCAGGTGCCCTCTCGCAAGTTGAGCTCTAAACATGACTGAATTATTGATAAGCTAAGATGAGATCAACAACACCCGAGTAGTTTAAACGTATACATCATATTGTCTAGAAAACATCCTGCGGAAGGATAAGAATATTTGTTTTCACTATTTCCGACTTGTAGAATGCTGTATGACGTCTCTCTCTTTTTTTTCCGTACTACAGATGCTCATAAACAAATATATACATAAGCTCTTATGGTAAATGTCAAAATCCACTCAACGCGTCTTAAAAAGTTACAAGTTCCAAGGGCAAATTGCAAAGAAGTGCACACCCTTTTGGAAAACACACAATCTTTCGAGCATGCCAAAACTTGACTTCATATCGAGCTAGCAGAGTCTGAAAAGCCTCAGACGAAACCGAGAAGCCAACATCTTATATCAACTGGCATACTCGATGCGCCCGGCCCTGTCAAAACTCTATTAGAGGTCACCATCAGGGTCAAGCGTGGGGTGCGGCACGCCACACCTGGGGGGTCGTATTGAGGAGTCAAAAGGGGAGGGGCTCGTAGTTGGGTAATCTGATAATAGTGATAACACGATATTCGTATCCTATCCATAATTAGCATCTTAAATAACCCCTGTAGACAAAGTGTGAGCGATTTCTGAAGGTTCAAAATACTAGGCTACCTAAGTGAAATGGTTATTTTTCAACATGTTTAACATTGTTTCAAAGATGAATTAGCTATCCGTTTTTGCACTCAAGACAAACACTACTCCTTCTTTGTCCACCTCAGGAATCCCGCTTCAGAAGACCTCAAAACTGTGGAATTAGAAGCCAACCAAAATCTCGTTTTTCCCATTTTTCGCTTTTGATCGCTGTGCTTTCACCAAATATTATTTGGAGCCAAGAAGACGAATCAGGCTCAAAATAGTCCCATGGAATCTACAAGGTTTAGGCTATCGATTCATATAAATACTGTCCGCTAAAATTTTTTTGATATAGTTAATGGCCTGCGGCACCCCTCCCCCCCTCCCCCTCAAAACCTGCGGCTGCCGCAGGTTTTGAGGGGGGGGGGGGGTGCCGCAGGCCATTAACTATATCAAAAAAATTTTAGCGGACAGTATTTATATGAATCGATAGCCTAGATCTCCTAGTTTTCAAAGGAGTAATTTTAGCCTAATTCGTTTTCTTTGCTCTGAGTAATAGTTGGTGAAAGCACAGCCATTAAAAGCGAAAAATGGGAAGAACGAGATTTTGGTTGGCTTCTAATTCCACAGTTTTGAGGTCTTCTGAAGCGGGATTCCTGAGGTGGACAAAGAAGGAGTAGTGTTTGTCTTGAGTGCAAAAACGGATAGCTAATTCACCTTTGAAACAATGTTAAACATGTTGAAAGATAACCATTTCACTTAGGTAGTCTAGTATGTTGAATCTTCAAAATCCGCTCACACTTTATCTACAGGGGTTATCCGACATGCTCATTATGGATATGCTGCCCATTATGTTTGACAGGGCCTTCAAGTAATGCTATCTTAAGTGTATAGTTTAGGGGGGGGGGGTCTTATTAAGACAGCAATCAGGGGGGAGGGTCGTAACCAGCGATCGTGTGCCACACCCCTTGCTTGACCCTGGTCACCATCTCTATTCCTGTGCCAATTCTCTATCCCCGTATGTTTCGTAATCAGCTTGCCTACTTTCTCCTTGTGCCGTCAAACTGTAGCTCAAACTCTGCAAAAAATGATGAAATCGATAAAAGTAAGGATAATTCTCAAAACTAGAATTATTTTCTCTGCATGCTCATCTCATTCCCGTGCAAGATCCTAGCCCCGTAGCTCCAACTTTGCAAAAAATCGACAGCGATAGCGATCGATAACGAAAAGTAGCCTACGATACACGTCCCACTCCAAAGTGTATGTGTGTAAAGTTTGGTCCGGATCGATTTAGAGATAAAAATCTGTTCGGAACATAAGTACACACAGACATATCTATAGAAAGAAAAACAAGCAGACTCAATATGTATTTAATTTTTAATTAAGATCTGAATACAAATTCATGTGGAGACCAATTGGGCTAAGCTTTGTACACTTATATTTTTGACCTTTTTTGAAGGACATAGGCTATATTTCAGCGGCGCTCCACGCTTACTACTGCTAGTGAATATTTCTAAATTGAATCTTTCAAGCTCGAAAAAATGTAATCTTAACTTCATCGCAACTGTCGTAAAAGAAAACCAAGGCTGCACTACATATTTGTAACTTTTTCCGATAAAATTCTCAATGATAATAAATACACACACATTGAGCATCTACGCTTTATGTAGTTCAAATTAAACATTTCTAGCATGTAAAAGCTTAAGTTACCTTCGTATATTGTGCATATCCATCATAAGTATCCTGAGTGCATCGGTCATATCGCCATGAGCGCAAATGGTGTCCGGATCTAAACTTGAAAAATTTCTGTATTTAATACATTTGAACAACGATTCTGCAGTAGAATGGATATCTTAATTACTAGAGTGATCAATTGATGATAAGTAAGAACTAAACTCAAACATTCCGAGATGAACAGCTGAAGAATGATTGTGCTGATGTTTCATTCATCAGAAAGTGACTTCAAGATACTTTTACATATCTAATGCACGTACCTTCATTACTTGGCTTAGGGAATATTGCCTCAATGCAAGTTGGAGCAGGTCTTGAAACTGTGCATAAACCGGTTGGATCACAGAAATTAGTACAATCACAGCTACCGCTACCAGTCTCGTATATTTTTTCTCCTTCCTTCAAATCACTGCAACAACTTTAGTATAGTATTTCTGCAGAGCATGCTGCGTTGTTTGCAGCATTTTCAGAATTTTTTTATGCAAATGCAAACTAGCATATAGATTTTGCACACCAACGAATTACCGTTGCTGTTGTTGTTATAACTGTTATGACCATCGTGATACCTCTGATGGTTTGTATTTTATGCCCTAGCCGGTCTTACTTACGCTGCAGTATGTATAAGCTCTTCCAAGATGAAGGCGGTCGGTTTGATGTGCGACGTGGCTGCTGCGTCACAGCCGCGTCACAGTCACGTCGCACACGAACCAACCGCCTTCGTCTTGGAAGAGTTACACCTGCTAAGTTTGGAATAGTTTTCGGAATCATATTTACTTTACTATATAGGACCCAAAAAAGGAGCAATGGAGCTCATACTTGTGTCAAAGTATGTAAAGGGATGACGAAAGCGCAGAAGCAGTATTAGTTAAGCGGGCGCGAACGCGACGCGCACGTATCTCCACCTTGTAAACTCTGCGTCTCATGCGCTCTGCGCGTAAAAAAGTTCGCGCCCAAAGATATTGCGCCTTCATCATGCAGCAGCATGTAAATACTTCTATCGTCAATATCTCTCTTGCTATGAAGTCTGTCGCCGCTTTAATAACGTTAGTAGCGGCTCCAATTGAAATTTACAGCATGGAACAAATCATCGAGCTTTTCAGTATTGTGAAATGAAATAGAAACTTTAAGCGCACAGGGTCAGTGTAAAATAAGCCTCTAGAAAATTCTTGAAAACGATCGGAAGTGTAGCAGAGTTTCCACGCATGCTGTTTCATTGCACAATATTCTATTTTTGTTTGACTTTGTAATGAGTCAGCTTTATGGTGAAACATTGGGAAAAGTGATTGTTATTGTTTTTTTGATAACTTCCAAACGAAGCATTTTGATAAAACGCAGATACCATAATCAGAGCCCAAGACTTTATTGGCCTAGCGTGAACATTTTTTTCATTTCCGCTTTCTGGGGTCAATTGTGGCATTAAATGGCTCAGAACCCTCTAAAAACAATTATAAACACACAGAAAACAGGGAAATGGTAATTCGCTTCATGCCGTGCTGAAGCCAACTCTGAGAATTGTTGCTCAAAGATCTGCGAAAGGCATTGGTAGAAGAAGGTTACTAACGTACAAACAGTGTGCAGATATTTTTCGACAGTATGTCTTCCACTTTTTCGAGCTTGCGTCAGTTTTTTGCAAGGTTACAAAATGTGATCTAATAAATTGAAAACGATCCAAGTTGTGAGATATAATACATGCACAAGGAAGCTAGCATCATATCTGAGGATTGCTCCTTTTTGAGAATTTTTCATGTGTTAGTTTCGACTGTGAACAGGGCTCGGCACGAGGTGGCTAGTTGAAAATGCAAAAAGCGAAGTCCCCCTTGACATCGCCACAAAAGTACGATATCCCCCTTGACACGCTAACGAACAAATCAAGAATGAAAACAAAAAGAATGAAATAGAATAGAAGACCGGCAATAAATGGGCAATAAGAACTAGTATTGTCTGTATTCTCCGGGTTGGCGGCATGCTATGTCCGCCACGCACCACCGCGAGCTTGAAACACCTCCGCTGCCATCCAGATAATTTGGAGGGCTATAACTAGGCGGAGAGGAGAGAGTTTGAGGTGGTACAAGAACTGTTTTGTAGAATATTAGATGTAGATTACTTCTATGTAAAAAATTTGAAAAATTTGTGTGAAGAATAGGAATTAGATGACTTTGTTTGCGCTAAGCCACCTCAGGCGGCTATCCAGGTGGCTTGAAAGCCACCTAACCCCGAAAAAAGTTTGCCATGCCCTTAGTTCACATAATCTTTTCATAATTTTTCATACATAGTCCCAACTCTCCATCCCCCATCTACACACCTATTTTGGTGCCATTTCATCTTCACTTCGCTGTAAACAAACCCTTTGTTTATTTGCTGGCGGTATGCGGGCAGCGTGCCGGTAGCAGATCGAAAGGCAGCGTTATGCTCTTCCGCAAAAACGATATCCCTTTGCTTTTTCCCCCAAAAACGATATCCAGCTTGCTTTGCAAGCCACCTGTGCCGAGCCCTGACTGTGAATACTACCGTTAAATAACAATACAGAGGATTCAGGTGCTGAACATGGAGAGTAATAAATTAATAAATTTTTCAAGCTTTGCTTAATCAAAGAAAACACGCTTAATTTGTAAATCTGACACATCAATTACAGCAGAAACGATATGACCTGCAACTTGTTCAAGAATTTCGGTATTCTCGGAAACTCACGGTTGGTCAGTGATACAATAAAAAATAGTGATCGAATCTCCGGAATCGTTGCAGCTTCTGTGAGCGCAACCAATTTTCGTAGCCGTGGAGCGCATTAGCTATAAATGCGTGATTGAGAAAGACGTGTCATGTCGGTTTTTGCGATACGTTAGCATAGTCCAACAGGTATCTCCCATTCCTCGAAACCAAGTATGTTACTCCTTCGGGACTGACTGATGTAAGGCTTTTAACATCAATTCCGGAGACCCATCCACGAATTACGTCCGACGTGTTGAATTCTCCTTTCTCGCTAAATGAACGAGACTTTTATAGTAAAAGTAATTAATGCGTAAGGTTGCGCAACCAGTTCGTATAATAGCCAGTCGAAATCTTCGCGTTCAGTAAAAATATGTTAGTTATGAACTAGAAGCGCACATGTACGATTTAAAATTTTTTCCAGAACTTACCTAAAATAAGCGAAACCATGACCAGTATCTACGCGAGCATCCCATACAGTACAGTTCATGTTATCCAAAGCATCTAAAGCTTTCCTTTCCAAATCGCAGCTCCAGGTCTGTAAATTTCAAGGTATGGAAATTCTGCTGTGATTACATTTGCTGGAAGGTTGTTTTTGCAAAAAGACTAGTTTTACTTTGTTGAGGCATGCTCCTATCGTAAAAGACAAAACTTTCCGGAAATTTTGCGATTACAACAAAATCGTTTGGAAAGATGGGGCCAAATTACTTCCATTTTAACGTCATCATTCCGAAAGGTACAGCACGTTACTAGTGTTACTTATGAGCTTTTTTTCGTCAACTTATCATTGACTTTTCGAGACTCCGCCCATTTTTATCTAGAAATATGAAGTGGTGAAAAGATATGCATGGGATATATTATCAAATAATGTAAGATAGAGCTCATTCGTGCTCTACGATCTAGACTGCACTCTCACTCTACTTTTACAATCCACATGGCCACGTATAAGGCCTTCGCTTTTCAACGTGGCAGCACCTTGCCTACGCTTCACTGATAATTTTTCAAAAGGCGTTTTGGGAAAATTGAGCTGACTTTTCAGACAAGTACAGAATTAAAGCACAGTATCTCAAGATGTGCATCCTACATATCATCAGCAGATCTAGCAGGTCCTAAATGTGCACACTATTAACCGGAAACAACTTTCTTTTCAAAGTCTTTGCAGAAACTCTAAGTGCCGTTCTAGAAGGTCGTCCTCAACTCAAACTTATTTAAGATTGAAATTGGAGCTCTTCTGTACAACTATGATGGAAATCTTTAGCGCAATCTGTTGCAAATCAGCTGCCATCCAGAAATTTTCCAAAAAACGTAAAATCTTCAGAGAAGGGTTCAAAAAGCAATCATACGTTTATTCCAACAATTAATTCTGTGCGTTATTTGCAGCGGTACAGATGGTATGACTAAAGGGTACAGATGGTATGACTACGTGATTTTTGAGACTCACTCTGAACTAAAAAGAGGTTTGAGCCTGTTTTTTGAGCCTTGAGCCGAGATTGGCAATAACCTTTATTTTGGGCTAACGTTTCGGCGGCGTCGCCTTCTTCAAAAGAGGTTAGTTGAGAACTATTATCGGAAATTCTATGGTAATTTTTTTGAAAATCTCGTTTTTAGCATAAGAAAGGCTACGAAAACACAATTTTTCGGTTTTGCTGTGTTATTTTTGAGATACTAATCAACTATAATTGCTTCATTCACATTCGTTCGATTTGGTCATGACCACCTCAATCTGTTTCTTTTCTGGTGAAGGTTGTGTTCTCTCATGTGCTCAAAGTGAAGGTTATCAGAGTATATGGCTTTCTGTATCGAGGGTATGTGGGGCTCCAATATATTAGGTCGGTCTGAAAATTCGCGCTGTTTTCAGACCCATGCTCAAAAAGCAATCATACGAATGAAGATAGACAACCGGATGCCTATTAAGAGCCGGCCAAGCCAGATCCACCGCCGTCTGGTTTTCTGGTCGCTAGGCGGCTCTCCCCGCTCCAAGCCCGGGTCAACGATCTCCCCGTGGAAAATACGAGTTGGCCTAGTAAGTCTGCTCTTGTAGGGGAAAACTTCAATTACTCCGTCAGCAAGGAGAGATAAAATAAACCCTGTTCATCGAATCCCGCCTACGGCTCCGGGTGGTAGCAAGAACGATGTCAGTCAGGGTCATCAAAGCGCCTTTCTGAATGGACAAAAACGACACGTCTGCCCGGACGACATGCCATAGAGACTGCCTTATGCTCTGCACCTACAGCGCCAAGACAGTCTCCAGAAACGCCGATCTCCACGCTCTTCTCGACGCTGCAGAGCACATCAAGTACCACGTCATCGCTCTGCAGGATACGAAGTGTAGGAAGAAGGACGTGCGACAGATGAGTGATGGGGCCCTCATCATTCGTGGTGAGAAGGTTCCATCACGAAACGTTGGAGGCGTTGGTTTTGTCGTCCACCCATCTATCGTCTATCTTGTCGATTCGAATGAGATCCTATCATTTTGACTAGCCATCCTACGACTGCGACCTCCACGTCAGAAGACCATCAGCATCATCACCTGCTCTTCTCCAACATCAGCAGCTGACGAATTAGAATTAGATGCTTTTTACGAAGATGTGGAGGAGGTCGTCAGCAACGAGAAGTCCTTCTACAAGTTTGTTGTGGGCGACTTCAACGCGAAAATCGGGATGCCATTGGAAAAAATAGGATCGGGAAGTTTGGATATGGGCTCCGGAACAAAAACGGCGCTATCTTAGTCGATTCACTTTACGACTTACCTTCAACTTGTGAAGTTCTTCTTAGGGGATCAGCTAATGACTGATTGGTGTTTTAATACGGGTCACAGATTCTTACTAAAGGAGCATCAAGAATTTGTAAGGCTTGGCGATTAATTAAACATCTCTTGCTTTTGAAAATTCAAACGAAGCTCAGTCGCTGTTTGATGCCATATTGTTCGAATCGATTTCTCCCTTTGTCGCTCAACGCTTAACACGTGATCTACTTTGTGAAATGAGAGGTCAAAAAGTGCGAGAGAAACTCAAGAATGCTCAAAAGATTGGAAAATAATATTGTTTACAGTGTATTGATTGATAGGTAGAACGCAATATTTTTGTCGCTGTGAAACGCTATTTGATGTGCTAAGATCACAACAATCAGATTACTCACAGGTCTCTGTGAGTAATCTGATTAATCAATCTCACCAACTTACCAATTTGTTCATATTCTTAGCTCGTGGTAGGAAGTCACATTTTGTCGTATTATCCTCTAACCGTCCACAATGTCCGTTGTGTTGCATGCCGTTAGCAAGTTCGAAACGTTTGTGATTTATAAATGAAAGAATTTGGCAGTTGATTTCACTTTCTGTGTAAAGACCACCGCTACAATAAGCAGCATCTGAAAAAGCTAAAATATAATTGGTAGCACCGTATTGCAAGACAAAAATCTTATTAAGAACAAAGTCACAAGAACTGAACGTGAATGTGAAAGTTGAAGAATTGTTTGCATTACTTCTTTAAGCTTCTGAAACTTAGCAGTACAAACTAGGTTGTGGGATATTCAATCAAATTTCTACAAATGCATTCTCACATCCCCAATAGCGTAATCATTCCGACTAAGTATGTATGCCACCTGACAATTGCCGCAGTCTCTATCTACCACATTCACTTCAACTGTTAGCTCTTATAACAAAACCTTCAAAATTCCCAAACATTCAAGACTATGTTAATTTCTCATGGACAGTTTTTCATCACCAAGCAAAGCTAATCAGTTAGCTAAAAGTCTGAATACCGACCCGATATTGGGAGCCAAAAGATGGGTAGACCGTTTGATGCTAATTTCTGAAGATTAGTGCGATTTTTGGCCTGGTCTTATGTACATGATGGACCTACATGCTAAGATGCGTACGCAGAGCTACGTCCCAAGACCTTATCTGTAACTTACTCTGCGAATTACGGGGCAGTAGATAAACACACGCACGCGTTTCACACACACAAAAGTCATTGAAACACTTGAATTAATTGCAAAATATATTTCTTTCTTACATTTGAATGATCCATTCCTAAAGAATGGGAAAAACTTTTTATTGATTAGCATTTTTTACCTGCTGGCGTCGTTGTTACACTAGCAGCATCTGTTGTTGTCAGTGGGGTACTTGTGGCAATGCGATAAACTACTTCGCTACCAAATTTCTGCGAAACCTTCAACTCCCTGGAATGATAAGGCTTTCGTTTCTGAGCGCATAATTCGGTTTTAGCCAGCGTTGAAGTTCAAAGTTGCTGAGACTTTTGTCACACAGGAACAGTGCAGCTGCTTACAAGTCCTTTTACATGCAAGATTCTGCCAAAAAGGGTGAAGGACTTACTGAATCGAAGGATTTGCCGCAGCGCAGTTATAGCGATTGGGGCTAAGAATTGTCGACAATGATAGGTACCACTTAATCAACATCGCGCGCAAGCTGTTTTGCGCATATGGTAGCCCCAGAAATGCGGAATCTTACTGTGATTTCTAACTTGAAATGAACTTCTTGTATTTTAGGCTTTCTCCACCATTCTATCTCCGAGTGTTAGGGGTTCCGCTCTTTGAGCTTCTTTTCTTCGTGAAATACAGGTTATCCACATAATTCAACTGCAAACTCGGAAAGAAATGCAAATGAAACGGAAATAATCCGCCATGTACAGAATAAATCACCAAATCTATACTAAACTAAATTATCAGGTTCCAGCGGAATTCCAAACTTCAAAAATATACATTTTTCCAAAATTTACTCTTTTCGAAGGGCATAACATCCCGCAGAACAAAGATCCTTGACTGCTTCGGGGAATCAACTTTTCTCAAGCTTCACTCTCAGTTGCAGTTTGAGCAATGCATTTTGGAGAACCAAGAACTACGATCCTTAGTTTTCACCATGGTCAAGTTCCACTATTTTTAATAAATTCTACACCGTCTTCCTAAATAACGCTTATATAGGGCTAATCCTGCAGGATACAAAACAATTTTATTTCTTTTCCATAACTGGCCATAATTTCTTGAAAAATCATATAATTTATCGAGCTTTGGCAGGCTCGTCTCAGACACAAGCACATTCAAATACCATTGAAATTTGAACTTTCAAAAATGGATTTTATGTCACTAAACTTGCAAAGCTAATGAGCGTTCATGGCGTAGAAAATCTCAATTGTTTTTCTGACACAGTCTGAAATGCGTTCAGATATAAATTATGGTGATTTAATCAGCGAATACTTACAGCGAATCGAAAGCAAAACAAGCATATAAGGAAAAGAAAAAGCTGCATTTATCGGGAGGTGCTTGCTTTTTGATGCTCTGTGAGATCTGAGCTGACCAAGTACGAAACTGGATAGCATTAAAAAATGTTTCAAAATTTTGAAAGAAAGATATCGAAAACAAAATAGTTGTTTTGTATCCTGTAGGGTTATGTTCGTCACTTTAAGGGTGATTATTAAATAGCTCTTGAACAAAGCTGCGGAACTTGGCCATGGCAGAAATCATGTGTCGTAATTTTTGGTGATTTCCTAAGAGCTCGCTACTTATTAATAAACAGCCAAAAGTACAAAGTTTCGAAAGAGGATGAGAAACTGCATCAAATGCACCCAAAAGCATTCAAAAATCCTTGTTTTGCGGGATGTTATGCCAGTTTGAGAAAAACGAAAGTACCTTCGGAACGACCTAATAGAAAGCGAAATTCGCGCGAAAATCCTAAAATCCAAATATGACTTCAACAATCAAAAAAAAGAAATCACTTCCACTTATTCCAACACATCACTTGATTTGAATTAGGTCGGGCTAAAGTTTTGTCACTTTTTTCAATACACCTGCAAATACGATAGAATAAGATAAACGAATGCTCGTGCTACGCCCGATGCAGACTATCTTGTTCTCTTCAGCTGCCATATTATATTGGGTTGTTTCAAAAGCTCTACCCGTTGTCGATACCTTTATTTGAACTGCCAATTTTGGAAAAAGAAACCATTTTTCACAAACAATGCTTATATCATTCAAAAGCTCTTTTTTCCCAGTTTTTCGTGCATATTTTCGTCTTCATAGATCTTTGTTCGCTGTGGGGTTGCGTACTTTGAAAAGACGGCGAAACAAATGTGAAAATTTTCGTCTTTGCTCTATCGCCGTGAAATCTACAGGCAAAAGAAAAAATTTCTTTTAGATCATACAAAATGTTTGTTGGAGACTTGTGCTATGAAACGCTTATCGAGATATGATCTCAGAAAAATTTTGAACCTACAAATTTTTAGCTTAAACATAACCTGCCTTTGTGGTCCCTTAAGTCGCATAAAAATCATAAACATATGGCAATCGCGGAACATTTACTCTGTATAGTAAGATTAGAGCCAGAACAACTGCTACTAGAAGAACGAGATTTCCTGGTTTATCAACGGCGAAGGAAATCAAAAATGACAAAAAATCGCATTTTTGCCGCCTCAGAAAGAGCAAAATAAGTAGGTCCTTTCGGATTTTTCAGCACAAAATTTTTATGAAAGAGTTTGATGAAATCCAAAGTTAGCGGTACTGCTCAGTCGACTATAGGCTACACTGTAAGCAATGCTTGTGCAACTCTACAACTACATTCCAAATCAAGTTATGCTTTTGCAAAGTGAAGGTTTCTACATGGAAGTGTTCCTCGATTTTCGCCCATAAAATCTTCTCCACTGTTACTGCAATAATCTTAAAGAGTGCGCAGAATAGCCAAAGATTTGCGGATTGTAATACAGTTTATAGCATTTGGAAAGATTATTTCTGAGAAGAGTTACGGCGAATCAAATTCAAAGGTCGAAAACGGATAGAACTTTTGAAACAACCCAATAGATGTAATTCGTTCAAAGAGTGCCGAGTATCGCTGAAGATTACAACCCTCGTCTTCACCATGTCCAGCTTTCGCTAATTCTCAAGATTTTGTTTGAAACTTTCGGGGAGCTTTGATAGCGCAGATAGGCCAAACCTTTTGCCAACTGAAGCAATTTTATATCTTTTTTCAGTTTCTTTCAGATTTCGTTGAATGATCTCCAAAAGTCCTGAAAAAAGAGTTCCAGAAAACCGAGAGTCGCATAGCCTGTTATTCCATCAAACAACCCAAGTTCTACTTTATACAAAGGTTTCAAAACTCATTCATTACTATTACCAACCTTACAAAATGAATGAGCGATTTCCTCTTCAAAATATAATGATTTTGAAACTTAGGGTAAGACAAGTTAAATTAAATTGCATTTGAGAGATTCTGCAATCTTCCCCACTATGCTTCTGAAAACAGAAAACAGAAAAGAAAACACGTGTAGTACAGAAAGAAGGTTTGTATGTAGGGCATTCTATACCGCAATTTAGATCGCCGCTCCATTCTGCTAGAATGGCTTATTCTTCGTAAGCGGAATTTTTCAACTGCTTTCTCTGTTCATGAGGGCACTTGCTAGGATAAATTGGAAAACACTAAAAACTTTACCAAAAACATACCCTTACCTTTCATTTTCGTTCTAAATGTAGAATAATACAGTTTGAATGTAGAGGTAGAGGATACTTATGTATCTTATATATAAAGCTGAATGTCTGTCTGTCTGTATGTCTGTCTGTCTGTCTGTCTGTACGTATGTGCGGAATAGAAATTTTTATTTCTGAACCGATCGGGACCAAACTTGGCACACATATACTTCGGGGCAGGGAGCGTGTCATAGTCCACTTTTCGTCATCGATCGATATCGATTTTATCGATTTTTATCGATTTTTTTGCAGAGTTCACCTACAGGGCTAGGAGTTGGCACAGGGGGAAGTGAGCATGGGGATTTCGAATACAATATTAGTTTTCAGGATCGTCCATTACTTTTATCGATTTTATCGATTTTTTGAAAATTTGAGCTAGGGGGCTCGAATTTGGCACAGGGGTGTAATCGAGCATGCTGATCACCCCCCTTGGGGATGATCAGCATGCTCGATTACCCCCCTGTGCAAAATCCCAGCCCCGTAGCTCAAAATTTGCAAAAAATCGGTGAAATCGACATCGATCGATAACGAAAAGTGGACTATGACACGCTCCCTGCCCCGAAGTGTATGTGTGCAAAGTTTGGCCCCGGGCGGAGCCGGGTTTGCCATCTAGTGTGGTGATATTGTTTGAGCTGACATTCAGCTTCTCAAAGGGCCGATTATAGGAACGAATTATGGTAAGTACTTAACACAAAGCGTTTGCTTATTTGTTTATGCATTATATAGTTCCTTCTGCCGTGAAACCTCTACAAATCTTTCACCTTTGTATGAGTGAATTCTTTGGTTTAGTACAAGGGTGATGTTAGATTACGAACCTATCCCTTTGCGCCTCCGTCTTTTTATTTGTAAAGCCACATCAGTATTTGTAATGTATTACATACAGCATTGCAAATCAGGTAATTACGAAAACTCACGGTTGGTCAGTTAAGCAGTAGGCTAAGAATGTATCTGCGCCACCAATGCCAACTTCACGCCAACATACTCTTTCAGCGCATCCGATTTTAGTTATCGTATCTCGAACAAGCTGGAACATCCATAATAAGTGAAAATGCTCGAATGTCTAGTAACAAATACTTACGTTTGCATAATCGCGCAGTTCCTTGCTAGAATGGGCATATGTGACATACTCGCTTCCAATATCTAAGGCATCAAAGGACACATTTTCGATACTCATATCATATAACCGTCGAAACATGTCGTCAGCAAAGTAGAAGTTGCTAAACAAATTTTTGGCTTGCTTTTCTTAAGAGCTTTTTCAATTATGAGCAATAGCTGGTTGAATGTCTTGTGAAGCTGCGCCTTAAGTCCAGCCTTCAAAGCGGAGATGGCTAGTATTTTTTTTTGTCTTGAGTGTGATGTCACTTAAGTGCACTACTGGGAGAAAGCTCAAGCCAATCATGACTCTCTCTCTCTTGGTATAAAATACGTACATGGCAGTGGGTTGTCCCAGGATTTCGGACCGGGGGTGGGGGCACAACAGAAATTTTTTTAAATGAAGGTGCGTGGCGTTAGCCACGCACTCCGAAAATTTTTTTGGGATGCTTTCCAAAACCTTCGCGGGTCCTCAACCCCTGAAATCTGGCATCAGCCACGCCCCCGAAAATTTTTTTATAAGGCTAATTTGAATTTTTAAACAATTTTAAAAATTATTTCAATTATTTACAAAAATAAACAAGTCGTTTGCACATTGTTATAACCCACTAGCTGGCTTAACCGGCTCCGCCCGGCCCTGTCAAAACACTTTGATAAAGTTCCATTCCCTTCCCTGTACAACCTTTCCCTGTGCCCACTTCTACATGCAATTCCCTGTTCCCGCTGTGGTAGTAATCAGTATGCTCACCTACCTTCCTCACCAACCCCCCAGCCCCGTAGCTCACACTTTGCAAAAAATCAATAAAACCGATAAAAGTAAGGGTAATTCTAAAAATTGATGGCGCTATTTGGCTATCCGGGCCCCAAAATGTTTTTGTGACGGATCTTGCTCAAACTCGGTATATGGGGGTTATTCAAGCCGCTGATGACAAATATCGTAGTCATTTCGCGTGGCAGCGGGTAAAAATCATGAACCTGACGGAAGCCTTGGCAGCGAATTACCTAAAGTGCTGTTTCAAGAATATCGTGCTTAATCCCCACGATAAAGACAATTCGTGTGGTATAAAAGTTTCCCACGACCGTAATGCTTTCCCTTATAGGATCACTGCCGCGAGTGATACACCCTTAGGCGGCTTTTGCCTGAGCAAACAACAGGGTGAGGGGAAATTTGCCGCGTGCGTTTTTGGGACAGGTCATCAGGATGGCGCTGGAGACCGCCATGCAAAACAACCGTTTCCCCATTTCGTGAATATCTGGGATCTAAATCGGCCCGAGAGCGAAAAAATGTCCATTCAAATCCTGCAACTTCAACTAACTTTACTAATGCGTTACGACAGCGAGCAAGCATCATATTCATAAGCAGTATACTTGTGAACCGTTACAGGTAAGGTTTTGAGCAAATCTGGAACTTCGACCCATCTACACCGACCGAACCCAAGAAAATGCACCACCCTGCGAAATTAGCATGATATTCATGTTCAGCACGCTTAATGACCACCCTAGACGAAGTTTAAAAAAAGTCTATGTTTTCGACCCGATACCGTATAACCACCATAACTCTATAAAAAGGTCCCAATATGCAGAGAGAGTATGAAATTCGTAATCAGTATGTCGAATAAGTTCTCTGGACCGAACTCCAGCCGAATTCATGATTTTGAATTCCTACCGTACACCAACCGTAGCCACACAGGGAGACGTTCTGCGGAGAAAGTGTGATATCTGTAATCAGCATGTAGATTACCCTTATACACGAAGTTTGAGCAAGCTCTACGGCAAAAAAAATTTTGGGGCCCGGATAGCCGAATAGCGCCAAACTAATATTGTAGTCGTAATCAACATGCTCGACTACCCCCCCCCCCGTGGCAAACTCCCAGCCCGCAGGTCAAAATTTACAAAAAAAATCGATAAAATTAATCGATAACCCTGGAAACTAAAATTGTATTCGGAATCCCCATGCTCACTTACCCCCTGTGCCAACTCCCAGCCCTGTAGGTGAACTCTGCAAAAAATCGATAGAAATCGATAAAATCGATATCGATCAATGACGAAAAGTAGCCTATGACCCCGCCGGGGCCCGAAGTGTATGTGTGCCAAGTTTGGTCCAGATCGGTTCAGAAATGGAATTTTCTATTCGAAACGTACATGCATGACAGACAGGCAGACAGGCAGTCCACATACAGGCATACAAATAGACAATCAACTCTATATATAAGATATAGGTAAGTTTCAAAAATCTCGCGACCCATTCTCGGGGGGGGGGGGGGGAGGGCGCCCCTCTCCCCTTCGGTCCGCCACTGGCATAGTGTGGACTCCGGCCAGGTTCCCATAGGTACTTCCGCAGCGCGCACGCAGCGCGCGCCCTTCTCAATGCCTCTCGCCTCACTCATGAGTAGTAGAGCATATTTATGCTCACAAAGGAGGAAAATGTAAAGTGAAACCTCTAGGTTCTCTTCGAAAGAGACGTACGCAAGAATGAAACGCAGGCAACTTCCATGAGTACCTCAAATTCAATCAATGGATGCATATTCCGAACTTGCACTGATGGATAGGTTGTAATAAGTATACGTAGAGAAATTAAAAACAACAGCATTCTTAAAACATTTCTCTTCGTAGACTTACAAGGGAACGATCCCAACTTAAGGTGGCAAATTGGAATAAACCGCATACCATTAGATGCGTCTTGATGAGCTGATTCCAAATCTACCTTCCGTATCTGCGACAACGTTATCTGGAAGAAGTTATGAAAGGCTAAAAATGTGAAGTAACGGGGGTTTTGATGCATAACTTGCTTTAAAATCCAACTTGGAAGTGCACGACTAGCATCATATTGAGTGTACTGATTTCACGGAGTGCTCACATTCAAAAGAAATGCAAATAAATGTTTTTGAACAGCTAAAAAGCAACTAAATTCTGTGGTAAAAGCTATGAGCAATGAAAAGTCCAAATTTGGCAAATATACAGCGCAATACCTCGAAAATTAGTCGTTCAAAAACACTTATTTGTGTTTCTTTAGAGTGTGAGCATTCCTTGAAATCAGTACACTCAATATTATGCTAGTCATACACTCCCAAGTTGGATTTTGAAGCGAATTATGCACTAAAACCCCCCGTTACTTAACGTTTTTAACCTTTCATAGCTTCTTCCATATAACGTTGTCGCAGATACGGAAGGTAGATGTGCAATCAGCTCATCAAGACGCATCTAATGATATGCAATTCATTCCAATTCGCCACCTTAAGTTGGGATCGTTCCCTTGTTAGAAACTATAGTAGTCAAAATTTCAAAAAAAAAAATGGACATTTCGGTAAATAAATACCTATTGGCTTCTCCGAAGGCTCAATTTTGACTTGAGACACTGTCTACACCTTACACATCAAACCGAAAGGGACTCTTATATTCTACAAGGAGCTTTTGAAGGAATATTATCTTAATATCCAATCAAATCTCAATTTTTCAGAGAAAAAATGGAAAATACAAGACTGCTACACAAGACTGAAGCTCTTAAAACTATTAGAGCACGTGAAATCTCGTCACCGATCATCGCGAATTGTTTATATCTATAATAGAGAGAATATAATACACCAAAAATAAAAAAAAAAGGAGAGAAAAGAGGATTTCCATCAGAAGCTAGGACAGGAGACGCACCGAAGGCGTGCGTTGCGGGTGCGTCGCGCAGGTACCTGTGGGAAGCTGGCCGGGGTCCACACTATACATGGCATAAGGAGTAATCAGTGCCTAACAACTTTTTTTTAGAATAACAATAAGAAAAGATTTCTCAATTGAGGCTCATCAACAATTGGAGAATACTGTTAGGTTGCAACGCTAATTCTTAATTCTTAGTATTACTGTTTGTACATTCTTCAATGTAGTGAATGTTAATAAGCAATGGGACGTAAACCACCTCGTAACTAATTGGCCAAAAAATAAGTTCGTTTTGGAGATCTTGCAAATGCAAATCTTCACAAAAAAAACTTAACCTCTTGCCTTGGAATTACAATGTATATTTCAACACATAAAAATACATTTTAAAAACTATGTACAAGCGATTAAATATAAAAAACAAACTTCATATAATTACTGGTCAATAGACAATACTAATATCAGTGATAAATTATCCAATATCAACATAAATAACATGCAATTATACTCAGCTGATTTCACAAATATGTTTACTAGCCTACCACATAACATAATAAAAACCAACCTCAAGGAACTTCTCAAATTATGCTTCAAAAATGCAAACAAAAAATATCTAACATATAATGGCTTTAACAGAATATACTACACCGATAATATAAACACAAAATCTAGCCACAGAAACTACACCATTTCAGATTTATTGTATTACATTGATTATATTCTTGATAACAGTTTCTGTAGATTTAGCACATACATTTTTAAACAAAAAATAGGCGTACCACAAGGCGGTAATTTTAGTCCATTGTTAGCAGACCTGACACTATCTTGGTATGAATACAAGTATATAGTTAATAAAGTAAATAACAATAAACAACTTTTTGCATTTCGTTATATGGATGATCTATTAATCATACACAACCGCACTGAACCTATAATTCATAATATAATCAAAAACGTATATGATAACAAACTAAGTTTGGAAACTACTCATATAGATAATTTACATTGTAATTATTTGGACTTACATATTACAATCATTAATAACAGAATCACAACTAAAATGTATAACAAAACTGATATTTTCCCTTTTCAAGTAAAAAGGTTTATACACATCACTTCTGGTGTATCCAATCACATCAAAAACGCAATTGTTTACACAGAAACTTTAAGAGTTGCCCGTACTTGCACTTATCTTGACGATTTTGTCAAAAAAATACTACAGTTACGAAACTTACTTATTTCCAATGGATACAATGAAAACATGATTTATACAAATACTTTCAAATGTTTACATAAGAATAATTTTATACTATATAAATACGAATTTTACAATTACGATAAAATTAAAAGATTATTACACATTCTACATCAAAATTTACACAATACATAGTTAATTGATGTAATATACGTCTTATACCAGCCTTCAATTAAGCTCTTTCATACAATTCTAATCAATAGCACATATCATTAATCAGTATAGTTATTTCAATACAAATCTACTACAAACAACCAATTTGGTAAAGTAGTCTATCAAAATGACTAACATCATAATAAATAAAACCAACTACAAAAACACTAACATGTTTCATTTTATCCTTTAGTCTACCAATATGGTCACTACTATAGTTTATAGTATATGATCAATATATATAATATATCAAATATTATTATATATAATGAAAGACGGAGTATAAAAATTGTAAGTTGTTAAACTTCATCTATTTCAACAACATTCAAAAAAATTTTACCCTAAAACTATTTTGAAATACACAGGACTCATGAACTCTCCTTCCTTACTGATGAATTCCGGGGAGAGTTCTGAGCTCCTTTACTCCGTCTAAGGACAGGAACGAAACGGAGTTAAATTAGTTCACTGCAAAATTGATTTCCATATTAAACAAATTATGGCACCACATTTTGTATATAACCATCTCTATTTCTATTTCTATTTCTATTATATCAATTTCTTTGTTGCCATAATTTTTTGTGGGAAAGTAGTTCAAAGCTTGCTCTATCTTATATCAAACACTTGATACTTTCTATCATCGGTAAAGACAGTTATGCCTCAACAAGGCTAAATTTCCAAAAGCTCAATTCTCTGACTTCTTAGGCTTCGTTGTCATGCTGTAATGGATGTAGAGAACAGCAGTTCGGTATACGGATACAGAGAAGGTTTCCTCATTCAATGGATAACAATGAAAATTGTGCTCTGCCACTTTAAAAATCTGTTATCAAAAAAATCAAATTTCCTCATATTTGCGCATTATAAGAAAAAAGGGATTTCTCACTTCTTTCTGAATTTTTTCTTTGGAAGATAAGTTCTATTCGAACAGAATTTACAATCCAATTCCAATTGCAGTGCTCTTTTCAAAGATACCAAACACTAGGCAAAAATTTGTCTATAGCATTTGTAAGAGCCGCAAAAGCGACCGAACTTATTTATCAGCCAACCTAATGTTTTACGTCTCATTCTGTGAAAATTCTTTCAGCTGAAAACGTGTTTCTGCGGACTATCTCTTAACATTGAATACCGTCTAATCATAAACGGGGTTTCTCGGATCTCAAGCGTTACAGTCTCTATGTAACACCTGACCTCAATGTACTTCTTCGCTAGATTTTTTCAGGGGAAACTTACTAGTAAAAAAATCCAGTTCTGTCGGTCGGTGTTGGAGGTGAATCAGACGAACAATTTATACTCACTAATGCAGCTTTGGCTTCTCTCTCCAGATCACAGCTCCACTCCTAAATACTCGTAACTTTGACATCAAGTGAGTCAAAATGTTAATGATTAAGCTTTGAGTAGAAGTGTGATATTTGAAACCATATTGTATGCGTACGGTTGTGATCCAAAAATTGGATGAAATGAGTCAAGAGTCAAAGTCTCGCCTCATATGAGGCTTTCTATGCAAACTTTTTTAGTCCTCCTATACAGAGCGCATGACTTTATTTTCAACAAAATATTGCGCTAACCACCAATTATACCACGAATGTCTAAAACACAAATTTACCACAGACGCCAGAGTCACAAGAGGACGTGGCAATCGAGTAACATCAGATTTCCTTGATCTACCACTTCTGGACATTTCCGTTACGCAAAAAGATCTTTTAGCAATGTAGTATTTTACTACTCAGACAATTGCATCGGAAAGTTCGCTGCCACAAAGCGTGTTACTTGGCGCGCCGCGGCCCTTAGAATTTCAGCCTCGCACGCCGCGGCCCATGTACAGAGTGTCCCAAAAAATGTGAACACTGTTTGATCGTTAATAACTACGTTGCTTTTATGTCTTTCGCCGAGCTTTAGGCACCATTTCGTAGAGCGAGGTTCAACTTAGATTTGTAGTATGGAGCGAATCATCGATTGCTTTTCATTACCGTAGGATTACGGTAGGAACTTCCAGCGTGTGAATCCACTGTGAAATATGCCATTTGATAAAATTTTTTCCAAAAAATCTGAAAAATCGTGTACTAGGGTTTTCGCGCACGCTGAATCCATTACACAACTTTTTACGGGAGTTTTTAGTTTTTTTGGCGGGGTAATCACATTTTTGACAAATGCTGGGAATTCTGCTATCACGGTTTACCTGGAATAACTTCGGAAAGAAGCGTCACAGTACAGTGGAAATTTCATATTCGAAATCAGCGGTTTCCATTACCATAGCATAAGAGCTTTTGGCTTGTTTGGTTTTGTTCCGAGGCAGAATATGGCTTCTAATGGCCTAAAATCCTTGTCAAAGTTCCTACCGTAATCCTACAGTAATGAAAAGCAATCGATGATTCGCTCCATACTACAAATCTAAGTTGAGCCTCGCTCTACAGAATGGTAGCTCAAGCTCGGCGAAAGACACGAAAGCAAAGGAGTTATTAACGATCAAACAGTGTTCACATTTTTTTGGGACACCCTGTACATTCTACCGGGAACACCGCGGCCAAGGTTGAACTTGGGAAAAGATTATCGGGAGCGTCGCGGCCCAATCACATCACTCGGTCGGCTGCGGGCCTTATCAAGTACGCCGTACTTATTACACACTATAGGTTAAAGGAATCCGCGTGAGGCACGCCGCAACGGTAGGGCTACCCCAAGTGTTTGCCAGGCTAGGTATCCATTCTCGGATTTGACAGAGTTGAGTTTCTATGCTCACAAAGTGAACTTTAACAGTCGGGCGAGTTATCGAGGATTTAGATGATGTCGACAGATGAGCAATCAAACTGCTCGATTTGCACTCAGTCGTCTTCGTGAGGGACAGGCTGGAAGGTTCACATTCACTCTCCCTAGACCTTACAAGCATGTTAATCGGGTTAATCATAGACGCTCAAAGGGCACTTACAGGACGCGCTGGCGGTCACTTATCGGGTCCAATGTCGGTTTACCTGGCAGCTCGCGGCATGGATGATTGGTGGTTGAGCAAGCACCCGCGAACTTCCCGATGCAAATGTCTGAGTAGATGCTTGTAACAGCATGCGTAGAGAATCGCTATGATTATGCATTTGCATTAGGAAGAACTTATAAAATTAATGACGCTCACCAAAGGATCAATCTTCGCCGCCTTTGGCAGATAAGTTCCTTCCGGACCGTTTTTCTGCTCTCCCTTGGCTAATCTTTCACGATAAGTGTTTATCGCTTTGAGCACTTCCGTTACTGCGGTTTCATCCAAGGCCAAGCTTCCATTCATCGGGCATGGTGTCGAAGAAACGGAGACGAAAATTGCCTCAAAGTTAGAATAATGCTTTATAGTATAGCAAACTAAGAAACCTGAAAATGTTACTAATTGTAGCGCTGTGCCCAAGAGCCGTTGCATTTCTGCAATTCAAACAAAACCTGGTTGCTTATAAACGTAGCGGCTTGCTCTTCTGATTTTTGCTTTTCGTTTCATATTTGTGCCACATATACTTATTTCCGTTTAGGAGTGTATTGTTTGGCGGTGTTTATGATTGTTCACATTAGGTTTTTAGGGTAGAGAATCGCAATCCGCTATTAGACGCCGCCTCCCCGGACTGCTCTCTAGCACGGTAAGCTAAATCATGTGCTGCCAGTATATAGCGGAGGAAGCAGCTATTGGCGGTTTTTATTCCTTGGCCCAAGTTTTTGCGCTATACTATATTTTGTCGTAGGTATTGCTTGCGGGTCTTATCTTCGTACAGTTGTTTTGATATAACACTTTGGTGACACGAAATACTTTGAGAGAGCACCAACACAAGTTTTCGGAACTTCCTTCATCTCTTAAGCAATAGGTTAAGCAATAGCATAGCACATTCAAGGTCGAAAAGAGATGTTTAATTTTGAATAAAAAGCTAATGTGCGGCAATTGTAGAAGTAAGTGATTTTCATTGATTATCAACGTAAATGGTGAGCAGCAAACTGCGAAGAGAATGTGCAACCTAACCAAGATGAGTCGCAGATGTTAGGTTGTGTAATAAGTCTTGTCCTATTTTTTTGGTTTTTTTCAATACTTTGCATGGTGTTTTGCAAAGTATATACATATGCATTTGTAAGCTATAAACCTGTTCTACCAGAATTTTCGCTTCACTATAAAAGAAAATTTTCCAGCATTAAATTTGGGAGGAAAATTCTGTTTTCGTCAACTAAACTACGTCGCCCTCCAAATAAGTCAGAATGCAAACGAAACAGCTCAAAGAATCTGCTGCGTCCGAAGAATACTATGGTTTCTGCAGCGCTTCAGAAGTGCTAAAATGTTTCGAAAATTACTTCTGTAAACTTCAGGGATGATCTGCAAGGTTTGGGGGTCACACAGCTTAGATAAGCGAAGCGACGAACATTACCGCGACCAATTTGCTTAGCCGTCTTTCAAAAAAAAAGGCATTGAAAAGTTGGTAGGAGGAAAGCAACAAGCGCAAACAATACAAACAATACAAGGTGACAGTACAAACATAAAAGTCTATGGGTTCCTTTGCTTGTTGTCAAGCTTGCTGAATAAAGTTTACCAACAGAAATAGGGGAGATTTGGAGACAATAAAGATGTCGAGAATGGATTTTTCTTCTCTTCGGATTTTCCGTTCTAACGCCAAAAAGTTTTTATCAGTTCCCGCTAAGGTGAGGGATGACATATGAATCTGCAGAGCAGACTTAAAGCTTTTAAATGCATATAGATATTCTGCAAAACACCGTGCGAAGTAATGAGAAAAAATCAGTATAAAAAATGGCACAAAACTTTTCACACGACCTAATATAAACAAAACAAGTTACCAGATGCAGCCTGTTAGATAGTGTTCCAAGAAATGCCTCTTCTGTCTGACCAAAATTTCGCTCTTGCCCTGAGGTTTTCCGCCACTGTAGGTGCCATTAGCTGGCTTCATTCGTCATTTTTGCGCGCAGCTCGATAAAAACGGTCGTAAAATTTTTTCTAGGGAGTGGTTGATTGTCGCATCACTTCGGATCATTTGCAACGAATATTCTTAATTCGAATATATCTACTCGACGCTGCCTCACTCAAAAGCTGAAAGAAGTCTACAACTGATTTCACACACATTTTTGCTCCAAAAACCTTCTTAATTCCTCCTCCAAAAAACCCGCAGCAGATAAGGAAAGCAGGGTTTCAATCAGTGTTCCTTGCCCTTCAAGTGCACATCCTTCTGTATAGATAGACATCTGCTCCACTGTTCTTTCCTTTCGTGAACACTTTATGGTGAGGAAATTTTGCAGTTGTCAAGATATCTGTGAAATACACAAAGAGTATCGAGTACTGCTCAGGCGACTAACAAACCATGTATCCCTTATTATGAGTATGCATGGAACTGCAAAGAGTTGTAAATTATAACCAAGAATGAGCATGGAGTCAGGAGCGCCCAACCTGGGGGGGGGGTCATCTTTAGGGTAAGACCGGGAAGGGGAAGGAGTGTCGCAAAGATTCGAAGTGATTCAAAGAGTTGAGATATAACACGATGGGTGAAGAAGAAAAGCTTTTAGTTTGGTGAATATCGCTGTTTTACCAGTACTGAAGGAATGGCGAGTCGTGAACAGCATACTGATCATTCCACAATCGAAGTTCCAGCCGAAATTCAAATCTTCAAGTCTTACCTTGACATTCATAAGGTCACCAAGAAGCTTGCTATTTGAACTGGGGTTTCGTTTCGGTAATGAGTATGTGAAGTTACCTCTAGGAGCTCTACAAATCATTACCTACTGCATTTTCTAGTGTTTCTCAACGTCTGAAAAACGTGATTTTCAAACATGATTAATTTGATTTTGAAAGCGCAAAAAGTCAGCCTTTTATGCTCACAACAAAATAATGTTCTCCACCAGTCTTTGTTAGAAATCAGGCTTCATATTGTTTTCAAATAATGGAGCAAGAAGTGCTGCGAAAATTTCAACCGGCGCGTTTTTTTCCTTGAGTGCTTCATTTCCACCGATCACCACAAAGCCAAAACAAGTCGAGATAATCTTAAACACCTAATTAAGAATCTTCGAGGTTTATGCTAGCGAATCATATAAAGGGTGGAAAAGCTTCTTCGGTGATCAAGTTAGTCGGGTCAGGCGCAACCTCTCAAAAGGTCAAGCTGAGCTCTAAAGGGATTGCGCTTGACCCCCCTAATTTGCCTTCGAAATCCAGAAATTCATTCCTAGTATGAGTATTGAGGTCATTTTATTCGAGGCTTCTTCTTGCTACAGTGAAAATTCGGAGCCGAACGCCTCACTCCTAAAAAATTATGATCCTTTTAATAGGCTCGTTCAGATCAAAACCAGCCGTCAAATTACTTGTAATTGTAAGGTGAAGTCATAAAAAACGGGCGTACAGTTCCAAAAATCTGAAAATTTTCTAAAAAGGATGATGTGCCCCAGAAACACACATTTTAAGGTTCCGGAGTTCGAGAGAAGGAAGAAGGCGTTGTTTGGGGGCTTTCATGAGGGGGGGGGGTCGCTTAGACTTGTGCCTGACCTCTTGTTCACCTCTGATTATAACACATCCGCTTACTTTCGAAAAGGCCCTTCCTAAAAATGAGTCATGGTGAATCGAATAAAATTCCAAACTATTCAAACAACTCAGTGAATGGTGGTTTTTTCAGTTACAACGTGAAATTTGCCAAGTACAACAAAAGCTAACAAATGATCAAAAAAGCTTAACAATATAGAAAATATTGGGTTGTTTCAAAAGTTCTACCCGTTTTCGATACCTTTGAACTGCCGATTTTGGAGGTAGAAACCAATTTTCAAAACGTTGCTTATACCATTCAAAAGCTCTTTTCTTTTAGTTTTTCAGAAATATTTTCGTTTCCATAGATCTTTGTTCGCTGTGGGGTTGCGTACTTTGAAAAGACGGCGAAACAAATGTGAAAATTTTCGCCTTTGCTCCGCCGTGAAATGTACAGCCAAAAGGAAAGTTTCTTTTAAAACACACATAATGTTTGCTGGAGACTTGTGCTACGAAACGCTTACCGAGATATGATTTCAGAAAAAATTTGAACCTACAAATTTTTAGCTCAAACATAACATGTCTTTATGGTCCCTTCAAGTCGCATAAAAATTATAAGCGTATTGCAATCGCGGAGCTTTTACTCTATATAGTAAGATTAGAGCTGGAACAACTGCTACTAGAAGAACGGAAAGATTTCCTGGTTTGTCAACGGCGAACAAAATCAAAAATGTCAAAAAATTGCACTTTTTGCCGCCTCAGAAAGAGTAAAATAAGTGGGTCTTTTCGGATTTTTCAGCACAAAGTTTTTATGAAAGAGTTTGATGAAATCCAAAGCTGGCGGTGCTGCTCAGTCGACTATGGGCTACACTGTGAGCAGTGCTTGTGCAACTCAGCTATATTCCAAATTAAGTTATGATTGTGCAAAGTGAAGCTTTCTACAAGGAGATGTTCCTCGATTTTCGCCTATAAAATCTTCTCCACTGTTACTGCAATAATCTTAAAGAGTGCGCAGAATAGCCAAAGATTTGCAGATTGTAATACAGTTTATAGCAATTGCAAAGATTATTTCTGAGAAGAGTTACGGTGAATCAAAGTCAAAGTTCGAAAACGGGTAGAACTTTTGAAACAATCCAATATTTAGTGTTAAAGGGCTTATTAACGGCAGAGTCGGATGTACTAGCATTCTCGCTCACTCTCGGAATAAGTGTAGAGTCCAGGCGAGGCGGCCTCGCAGGAGCGGAGATGCTGATGCATCCACTCTGCAACTGATTGCTGTATACCTGAAAACATTGAAGACACATAATTTATTGATGATCAAAAAGTCCATCATTATGGTCTATGTGATCCGAGCTTATTTGAAACGTGGAACCAAAAAAGAACCAGCATAAGCTTGCCAATGCTCGCAAAGCAGTTTTCGAGCATTCTTCTCACAGAACAGATGATATATTTTGGGGTTTACTGTTTTGATAAACGTCACTTCTTTCCTCACCCTTCCTGCAAACAGTGGACTATTATTATGCTGTTCACTAACTTTGCAACTGAGTCCGTAAATTTTCGCTGTTTAATATTAACGTTTTCAAATTATGACTTATATAGATATAGACTGCAGTGTAAGCTATAAAAGGCACAGAACGTTTCTCGAAAATTTGTGAAATTCGAGATTTATGGAGTTTCAATGAAAATGAAGACGCTCTTAAAATCATGCACAACAATCCGGAAGTGTGCAAAAATGTTGCTAGAGATTGACTCATCTATAGCCATAAGGAAGAAATGAAATTCGAAGATAGTTCGAAATTTGTGCCCTCACAAAGTTGAACGAGCCGCTGTACGCAAAGCTGCTTGGGGACAAGCGTCAATCACTAAGGAAGCGAAGTCCCAAAATTCACGGAAACTCTTCATGGTGGGGTTATTTGCTCTGACGAATACGA